ACCTATAAATCAAGCGTTTTTACGTACCCCACGTTTCTTTAAATTTGTGTGGTGATTAGAGACCGTTAATCGATAATTATTCAGAAATCGTGAGATGCGTCTTTTCTAAATGTCATTTCTATACCGACTTCTTTCCCCACCCCTTCAAAATCCAACGTATTTAAACATAAAACAGCAAAATCTCACTGGCACTCTCAACACGACACGAAAGAATGGCACAATTGCACAGAAGACAAACACTTTGAGTGAGTAGAAATACCTTGATTGAATATAAAAAATATATTTTGCATTGTATAAATTTCCTATGCATTGTATAAATTCCAATATTTCCACATCCTAAATGTATTTGTTAAATGTAAACAATGTATGTAAATCCCAGGCCCTGAAGATGATCTCAATAAAAATCGAAACGTTGGGACGATAAAGAAAATGTTTTTCTGAAGCCTACATCCCACCAGACCGCATCTCACGATTTCTGAATAATTAATTTCTTCAAATTGTTGTCGATTCAAGTATCGATACATGAAGTTTTTTTAATCTCACGAGTAGAGCTGATCTTCATCGATTAGTGCATAAATTCGGATGTCTTTAGTTAGATGGCCAGAGCATTCTTCGTCTTTCAGTGATAAATCGTAAGCACTAAATTTGACAAACACATACAGGCATATAACCAATTCCTTTTAAGGCTTTGGCATTGTGCACAGCACTTTTTATGATCTTGTGGTTCGTTTTTTATAAAGGTAAAAGAGCATATTATGTAAAATATGTATTAATTAAACAATAAGTAATGTTTTTTCTTGTGTGTTCTTGTGAACTGATACTCCCATTTGCACAAAGAGAAAAATGTTTCTATTTCCTCAACGTCTGTAAGGAAGTTTGATCAAAATAACCTCAGGCATCCGGCTCGTGGACGTCTTCATACTACAGATAGAAAAAAATGAATTGAACATTGCGAAATTGGGGACAAGTTCTATTTACAGATGAAGTGAGAGTTGGGATCTTTAGATTGGAGTAATTTCATATGGAGACGCGCACGAAAATGATACATCAAACAGGGTTTTTTTTATAATCAGTTTTCCCCGCAAACGCAGTAACAGGCTAAACAAGACAAAATGATTACAATGTTAAGGGTAGAAGGTTATAAAGCCCAGGGTCTTTCGCACTTCTAACAAAAATGAAAAAAGAGTCAGGTTGCAATCTGTACATATGTAAATATTTAGTCAAATATACTAGTTTTTCTTCTTCTTCTGATACATTCCATGCTTTAAGGGGGCTTCCACGTTGGGTCATTGATGTTCTGGGGTGGAATTTCCTTGGACTCCCGCGCACAATTCTTTTGCGAGGAAGATCTCTAACTTTACAGAGGTACTTACAAGACATAATCGAAGAACATGTAGTGCCATTTGCCTCCTCATTAGTGAGAGATTCTGGCTATTGCGGGATAATGCCAGGCCCCATAGATCACGTATTGTGGTTGACTATCTGAAGGAGGTTGGAATTGAGTGCTCGGTGTGGCCTGCTCGAAGTCCAGATTTATACCCAATCGAACACATTTCGGATCAACTTAAGCGACGAGTACGACGGACCCTCCAGGTCCTAACACCCTAGAAGTGTTGGAAACCGCTGTTCTTGATGAATGGGAAAGATTCTTCTGGATGTTACCAGAAAATATTTCCAACGAATACAAAAGCCTTTAACGGACGTGATTCGTTCCAGAAGTGGAAATACTCAGTATTAAAATGTCCATTTTTATTTGTTTTTTAATTTTCTGTTTGTTCTTTACTCAATATTTTTTTAGACTTGGGTAATAAAGATATTCTTTTTAAATGTCTTATTTTTATAACCAAACCTAATTTTGTAACATAGAAATGTATGTAAAATATAAATAAATCTAAATACATTAACATTTAAGGGTGGTACGTTGATTTTGTTCATCAGTGTATACCACAGTCTAAAAAATTTAATAGGTCTTTCTTAAAAACGATTTATCTGGACACATTGATGCAGCAGTACACGTTGGACCTTATAACTAATGACCTTGACAAGAAGAATCGAGGTCGGGCGTTGAGGAATGAGTAGCCGTGTTTCTGGTTAATGGCAAAGGCCAGGCCGGCTGGTCATTTGTCATTGTTCGTCAGTGTAGTGGTTTTACACTTTGACTGATTCGAGTATCAGCCGTGATGGCCACCTGCCTCCCAGGTCAATCAGTAACCGACTTGCCCTATGAGGTCGACTAGCCTCCCGAGAAGAAATCAAACTTCATTACAACAAACCGAGGGGGGAAGCGTTATCGCCGATTGGCACCGCCGGTCAAACGAAAAAAAAATATTTTGATAATCCTATCACTTCGAGGGGGTCGCATGGAAAATACCCAGTCATTCAATTCACGATTATTAATATCTTATATAGTGCTCGTCTACAAAATAACACTGACAACAATTCGGTATCAACGTCGGCGTTAATGTCAGACATTTTTTTAATTCAGCAAAATCTACTTTTTTAAGCAAGATGAAATGATAAATTCGATAATGCACAAGGAACATATGAATTATAATTTCTATGTACTAAATACTCCATTTTGCGATTAAGACTATTTCGGTGCCTAAGAAAATTGAAGATATTGGCATACTCTCTCCCTCTCTCTCTCACTCGCTCTCTCTCTCTCTCACTCTCTNCTTCCTAAATCTTTCTTTTTCTTCTCACATCTTTCTCTTCTCTGCTTCTCTCCTTCACTTTCTCTTTCGCTCTCTATCACTTTCTCTCTCCTCTCTCTCTGTCTCTTTCTCTTCTCTCACTCTCTCTCTTTCTTTCTTTTTATCTTTCTTTCTATTTTTTTTTCCATTTCTCTCTCATTTTCTCCATCTCTTTTCCCTCTATTTCTCACTCTCTCTCAATCTCTCTCTCACTCTCTCTCATCCACTCACTCTCTCCCATTCCTTTGCTCTCGCTTACTCATTACTCACTCTCTCTTTATGCCTACACTCTTTTTCTTTCTTTTTTTCTCTCTCTCTCTCTCTCTCTCTCTAATCTCACTCACTCTCTATTTGTGCCTAGATGTCAATGGAAGTTAATATAAAGCCTGTAGCTAGATGATTGTCGTATGACCTATACCAGAAGAAGGCACATGATTTAAATTCTCCCAAGGAAAAGGTAGACATATTTATATATTGCCTGATTTTACGTGCAGATTCTACATCGAAGAAAATTTGTTTAAACAAAATGGACGTAGTACTCACTTGCTTAATAGATTATTGTTAGATCAAACTTCAGGTTTCGTTTAATAAAGTGTTTTGTTTTATGAAAAACCGACAGACAAATAATTATTGAAACATATATTATGCTATGCAAAAATATTATTTTATTTTAAAAACTCTGTTAGATCGTTTCGATCGATTCGCTGATTGGGCCAAATCCTTAGCACGAGGTATATTAAGGACCCAGGTACATTAAAGTACCGCTTTTTATTCGCCTAACAACGGTCCTGAGTGAAACAACAAGTGAATATAAGCCTGTAATTAAATCACCGTAGCATAAGGCAAAGGCGTCTTGTTGGGCAACGCCATTAGAAAAAATTATGAACAAGGGATTAAATGATTGGGAGTATGCGGTTATGGGGATAATAAAGCCCCCCGAAGTTGTGGGCCGACTTACAAAAAAAAAATATATAATGAAAACCGAAAGGGTTTTTTGAAAAGTAACAGTGCCGGGAACAGGTGGGAAAGTGAACAGATGGCTAAGCGGTTTGCGACAGATGGGCTTGGATTCTGGATCTGTGATTTAGTCGTTCCACAACGGTCTCGGTATCACAGTGATTAAAAAGAAAAATGAAATTGGTTTCTCTTTTACTCAGGTGAAAAATCAAGGATCAAGAAACTCACAAGAGGAAGGAGTGTAGGTATTGATAAACTGTTTAATCGAAACAGGTTGATTAGTCGTTATGGACAACATCGTCTATTATAATTAGATTTTTTAAAAACTTATTACAAACTTGGAAGATCTTAGATAATTAAGCTGGTAATTTACCATAATTTTACAATTTAACAATCATAAATATTCATTTTCTATTGCTTTGTACACATATACGTATCTGAATGGATTGATGGTTTCTTTCGGAGAAACCAGCTTCCCCTTGTTCCCCTGTTCATTGGTCTGGTTGAAGCCAATCGCTACCTGATTGTTCACTTCCTGATGATTCTGAAATACGACGATGGTCTGTACCGGCTGGTGTCCGGCTGGGTGCGATTTTACTTCGATTACGAGAAGAGCGACGGCGATAAGCACCGCTGACGGTGATTTCATAACGATTGCGTGCCAAAAGGAAGCGGCATGGCCCTTATAAATGTAGAAACCATCCTTGGCCCCTTCGGGCGAGTATGTTTTGAATGATAATTATCTCGTTTAACATTCACCGATCATATTGTCACTTCCGACCACCTTCGATAAATCTTGTGGTTTTCGTTGTACAATCTCTGGCTGTATTTGTGTACCAGAGAAATCATATAGCATCCAAATGACCAAACGCCATAGGCGACTATTGTCGATTGGGGTTTTTGCCAAGGAAATTAAAAAGTTGGGCTGAAGATACTGGCATACTCTCTCTCTCTCCCTCTCTCTCTCCCTCTCTCTCTCTCTCTCTCTCTCCCACTCTTTTTCTCTCTCTCTCTCTCCCACTCTTTCTCTCTCTCTCTCTCTCTCTCTTTCTCTTCTCTTCTCTCACTATCTCTCTCTCTCTTTCTTTTGATCTTTCTTTCTATTTCTTTTTCCAATTCTCTCTCATTCTCTCCATCTCTTTTCCCTCTATTTCTCCTCTCTCTTCCTCTATCTTTCTTTTTCTTCTCACATCTTTCTCTTCTCTGCTTCTCTCCTTCACTTTCTCTTTNTCTCTCTCTCTCTCTCTCTCTCTCTCTCTCTCTCTCTCTCTCTCTCTCTCTCTCTCTCTTTCACTCTTTCTTTCTTTTTCTCTTTCCATCTTTCTCTCTTTTGTCTCTCTCCTTCACTTTATCTCGCTCTTTCTTTTTATCCCTCTCGCTTTCTCGTTCCTTATATTTCTTTCTCTCTCTTTCTCTTTCCCCCTTCCTCACCCTTTTTCTCTTTCTTCTCTCCTCAATTTGGCTATGAATGAAGTAAGAATTATGAAATAATAAGATGGCGACATAATTCGTTTTACTTGAGTAATAATAGTAGTTTTTTCTTAACTTAGTCTTTATAGTCCAATTTGTACTCCCTAATAACTGACGACTGTACAAGGAATACCTTTTTATGTATTTAAATGTATTTATTTAATATTTTTCTCCGATTTTAGTTCTATCCTGTTTTTATTTTTTTAAATGTTCAACCCGTCTCTCCTTTCAGTCCAATGCACCAGGATAGGTCACATAAAATGCATATGAAACTGTCTCAGCTATATTATAAATTCCTGGCTATACTAATTAAACAATAAATAAATTATAAGTACTTTATATACAATATGTTAGTATTATTGATTAATACATAGATTCAAAAAACATTGGAACTGCACTTCTGGAGGTGCCGGCAATAAAATTCTGAAACTATTTATCGTACTAATTAGTGAGATAAACCGTGAAATCCGTCATATTTAACGATGTATCCGTCTATACACGATAAGGGGTATCAATGGAAAGTTTCATTGTTTATTGGGAGCGTTTGCGTCCACCCGTCTCCAGGACTGGGGTCATCAAATGTCACTTCTACCGTAAACAAAAACAAGGGAAATTTAAGCGAACGTTCTGACGTTCGTTTGTACGAATGAAGGACAAACCGTCTTCGATTCCGGTGAATTTCTATTTGTAGGACGTGTCCGGCCAAGGGGGACAGGCCAAACATCTTCGCTCTACCGTTATCACTGTTCCTTTTTTGGAGCGCGAATTGATATCTTCCTTAAATTAGACGATAAAAAATAATTTATTGATTATTTTTTTAAATTATTTTAAAATAGAACACTTTGTTACTGTTGTTATAGAAGAGAAAATATTGATGTTGTAAGGCAAAAAACAATGCTTAGCAATAATAATAACTTACAATTAATTAAGGTTTTTAGTTGAGATGAAAAAAAGTTAATGGCACAAGTGGGATTCGAACCCACGAGCTTCGGCTAGATACGCCGCTGCTCTACCACTTGAGCTATCGTGACCTCGATTCACTCGGACATCAACTTCCTATCTCAACCCCACCTTATGAGTTTTCCCTCCTTTTTGCCATTTTTCACTGGTGCCATTAACTTTTTTTCATCTCAACTAAAAACCTTAATTAATTGTAATGTATTAATTGGTCAAGCGGACCACGAAATTAGTGAATTTAATAATAATAACCTAAAACCCAAAATTAAAAGCCTAAATTATAGTTACATGTCATATTCCATATAATTATTACTTTCATTAAATCAGTTTTTAAATTATTTTGAGAATAATAAACTAGCCTGACACCTGAGAAATCTGGTTTCAATGGAAAAAGTTTCTTTTTTGAGTTCCAGTTACATGCCTGACAGTAAATTTTTAATTATTCAGAAATCGTGAGATGCGGTCTAGTGTGATGTAGGTTTCAGAAAAACATTTTCTTTATCGTGCCAACGTTTCGATCTTTATTGAGATCATCTTCAGGGCCTGGGATTTACAAACATTGTTTACATTTAACAAATACGGAAGCCCGAAGTCGTCGAATATAATGTACAATGATGAGTAGGATTTTGAAAAATTATTTAATCTATACAAATGTAACTAGATTATCGTGTATTTGAAAAAGTATAGATTTTCTTTTTTTATGTAGTTAACATTATTGTACATAAGTCATATACAGTTTGGCAAATTAAAAATATAGGCAACGCTAATTGACATGAAATATATGACGAGGTTTCAACCTAGTGGCTGTCCTCCAAAATTTAGATTTAATTTAATTTATGTGCGCAGCAAGGTCACTATTGCGCCTTTTCAGTTTTCTAAGTTCACTAGTCGGCGGCAGCGACTGGAGAAATTCAGTAAATATGGTATCCGGATGCTCAGTTATTCCTTGATACAATTTCGCATATGCTGTTTCACCACTTCGGCAACGTATGAGATTTAGATCACGGTGAAATATAGAATTTCAAATATACCAAGGTGCATACGTGACAATGAAGTGAATTTGAAGTCGTTTTAATTTAGAATCACTCGCAGACCCCAGGAAAGATGACAAATACTGCTCTGCCAAATGGGATGGAGAGGTGATAGTTATAACAACCTTTTTTTAAAGAATGAAAGTGAAGAACTCTTGCGATAGGTGAATGCAACTAGGGTAGACTTTTGGGGATTTACTTTCATACGCCAATTTTTATTCCAGCCCATAATTTTGTTAGCATGATTCTGTAATTATAAGAAGGCTCTACTTGGTATGGTATAGTAATGAGGATACTAGGAGGTTTGTGATCCCCTGCAGTTTTCTGGTTTATTTACCTTCCCAGTTCCCTAGTTCAGTGCAATAGACTTAATCCTTCAGAAGTATCAGGTCATTGACTCGCCCCTATAATTTCATTCCCTAGATTTTTTTCATATGTTAAGTTAAATCTCCATTGAGCTGTTTCTTCGCATTAGGAGATGATATGGGTAGCTGTTTCCTCCTCCTAATTGCATAATCTGGAGATAGGATCATCGTTGTATATGCCCATGTTGTGCAGATTTTGGGATTTGGAGATTTTGGATGCATTCACTAATTTTGATGTATGTTCTTACGCCAAGAATTTGCCGGCTTCGCTCCGTGGAGACGGGCGGGGTTACTTAATGAATTAAGAATATTGAACTTAATATTAAATTTTAAAAAAAAATGGGCGCCACGCTGTTTATATACACGGAAACAGCGAACCGTAAATAAAATAAAATAAAACAAAGAAAATTCAATAACAGTAAAATTAACACACAAAAAAGAACACAATATTTACATAAGGAACCAAAAAAATACATTTATTCCAATGGAAACTAAAATATTAAACATAGATTGATCTTAATTCTCTACGGGTAACATTTTAACAAACTTACACACTAAATGAACCTAAATTATCATAAAATCTAAATAAACATTCCTTAAAACTAAACTTTCCTGGGAACCAGTGTCCAGATATGCTTCTTGATACAGACAAATGTCGAAAAAAACAAGCACGTTCTCCAAAGTTGGGTGGGTCCGCTGTCGTCTTAGTCGATAAAGGACTTTATTTTCTACCGATCCGTCCAGGCCATAGATACATCCGTCTCGGTGCACACCGTCCTCTTCCCTGACTCACACACCTTCACGAATCCTAAACCTATCCTAGGCCGTCTTAATTTTGATTAACCCACTGCCAATTTTAGTTTAGGTGGCATTACAATTCAGGAGGCATCCCTGGCCAAACAACAACAATACACTCATACTATGTTACGTTTTACGAACGTAACAATGTTTTTTACATGCTAATGTTTTATAAGCTGCTTGTAGGGCAATAATTGTGTAATTGTTGTATATGCCCATGTTGTGCAGATGCCAGTGACCGGTTTGTACCTCCAACCTCTCTCCAATTGCAGTAGCGAGTTTGCCAGTCTTGGTGAGGGTTGTTTCATCATAAGTTTACTTCGTCTAGCTAGTGGGTCGCTTTTTCGTTTCCCAAAATGCCTCTGTGCCTGGCACCCAAGATATCATCAGGTTGTTGTGCTTCCCCAGGTTTTGGAGATTTTGGATGCAGTCGCTCGCATTCTGATGTGATTTTTTTTCACGCTAATGCTTTAATGGCTGGTTGGCTATCAGATCTTCCTAGGATTTTTTTTGCCAGTGTAACCTTTTTTAAGAGTTTCTTTTTCATATTCACAAGTCACACCAGACCGCATCTCACGAACTTCAAATAATCATTAACTAACGGTCACTAAACACTACACACATCTTTTTCATTGTTTTTAAAATAGTGACAATTACTCTACAACAATTAGGTTGTTAAAACAAATCGACATTTAATGATTTATATAGCCATCCTTGTAAAATATCATATGTCACAAAAGTATTGATAAAAGGATATAATATTTAGTTAAATATCTACTCTATTTAGCTATTCAGATATGTTTATCGTTAATATTAGATTTTATTTTTTTTATTAATATTTCTTAGTGATTGCACCTTAAATACAACTGCGTTTTATTAAGGTGTTTTGTTATTTTTAATTTTTTTGAGCATATTGTGGGTATTTAAGATGCTGAACTCCAATTATTGTTATTTTAGGTTTAATTACTTTATTCCTAAATTGTAGATATTTAAAAAAACATTATATTGGATTGAAATATTTCTTTCTTCCTTATTTGGTTAGAATGTGATTTTTTCCACATCTGGCTGATTTTTAAAGGGAAAAAACGTTTGGACAAACTGTATTATTATTGTTTTTTTACAATATTACCTACTAAAAACTAAGTACTGACCACTATTTAAAAAGTATAATTATTATTCGTATATGACAGAAGCTTGCTTTTGGAGGTATCTCTTAGGATCGAAGCTTATCCTGGCTTTGAGCAGCATGTTTGTTACCGGTAGTAAGACGACAACAAATATCGGGAACACTGCAGAAAGGATGTGGCGGGCTAGACTGAAACCGACTCCTTCATAATTGTGTTCGTTGTATTCTTTTGTAAGATGGAAGAAAAACAAGCTGACAATGTTGTTTAAAAACAGGTACCATTCCACGAATTTGTTTTTGTCTTTTTCGAGGATGTTGTACAACCCGGACATCGCAGAGCAGAGGACGACGAACGGTAAAAAGAATTTTATTAAAACAAGAACAATAATGGGATGCTCGTCGAACGTAACCATGAAGTAGTCTGTCCATTTGACCTCAAAGTTCGAAGGATGATCCCTGAATCCTGAGGCGAAATAGCAACACCAGGTGTACAAGAGCATCAGAAAACCCCTTCTCAAATCGTCGTTAGTCATGTCGAGGCTTTTCTTGTTTTCTCCTATGTCAGCCAGGACGTCCTTGCCGGCTTTATTCACCTCCAGTGCATACCACGTTACAACGAAGAACGTCATGCCGAAAAAACCTATGCCTTCTGTTCTGGTCGTGAAAAGAAGAAACACAGCACCAATCCCGTAACAAAAAAGGCACAACCTCTTGAAGCCGGTGTGTGAAGAGAGTAAGTGCAGAAACGGTGCGAGAAGGAATATGGCCCAAGTTATGACCGTGTGAAAACTTTTGTTTTCATTATAAGCGAAATAATAAATTGTCGACACGTTCCATTCCACTAAAACGAACAGTATGATGTATGTAATCGCCCACATGTTGTCTTTGGTGATCTTGGCGTACACTATCAGCGATATTATCCAAAACGTCGTCGCCGCTAGGACAAAACGTTCAACAGGATGTTGGTTGAAGATAAACAATTCGGCACATAGCATCATTAGAACCGACGCGAATAACCACAATTTTGTTAACATATTCGAAATAGTTTTCCTGCACAAATAAAGTTGAATCAGAGATACCAGAGCGATTAAGCATTTTCTACACGTTGCATAATACACGGATACGATGACACCAACTGTGAATACCATGCAGACAGTCAAATAGAACAAAGTTTCTTTGTTTGTTTTGAAATTTTCGAAAAGCTTCCAAAACACTTTTAAATTCTTTAAAGCACGCCACCATAAAAATAATGAAAGCAGAATGTAGACTGAAAAGTGGAGCGGCCATTTGAGAAGATTGAATGCTACGTACAAAGAAACACATGTTAAAACAATGAATAGCAAATCATATAGACAACTCTCAACTATGCTCCACTTGAAAGGTACGTTTTTACACCCGCTTAGTATTTTGTGAAGGTACAGAAAGATGCCATCTGATTCTTCTACTTTGTACAACGAAGAAATTATCCGTAGGAATAACCACAATCCCCAGCCAGTGTACATCAACGTGGCCAGATTCTTAATTACACCACTGTAGGAGTGCCGCACGACATTCAGTTCCTCTTTTACTCGTTTGATATAATTGTCAGCAAGCAGAAACGCACCACTCGCGTTACCGGCTCGGATCTCATTTTTCAGTTGTTGTTTTAACTCGTCCATCATTTTTTGCTCTGTATCCAATTCCTTTGGCAAATTTCCTTGAGCTTGCAGGACGTTATTTAATTGCACCCCATTGCAGTACAACGCTTTTGCTAAGTTCAAATCCTGTTTCGCAAGAAACTGTCTTGGAATGACTCCGTAGGAATTGTCAGGAATAGGGTTCCCCAGAAGAACTGAAATGAAAGAAGCTAGATCGCTCTGCTTTATGTCGATACTTTTAAGCCCCTTGGCCTTCCATTGTTCGGGGTAATCCTTGACGACTCCGCCTTGCGATTTTATGCCAGCGCCCCACGCTAGTATCGGTGTCCGTCTCATGTCAGGATGACCTCCCCCATGTCTCCCATAATCGGTCATTCCGTGATCCGCAGTCAATAAGAAACTCGTCTCATTATCTTTATAAAACTCGTTGAACAGTTTCACAGTCTCTCCCACGCACTTGTCTACATGCTTCAATATTTCGATGCATTGCGGCTTTAAAGGACTCACGTGATGCCCGCAATAATCGACCGCGGACATGTAAACAATAAAAAATGTTTTGTCCCTTTTGAGATCTTCAGCGAGAGTCCGGTTCATCAAAAGCATCCGTATATTTTCGCAAGTGAATTTGTCGTACTTTATGTAGTCCTTGTTGACGCTGTCGATGAAAGTCCCGTTCCATGTCGTTATGTGCCACTTGTCCGAAAAGTGTGAAAGGTAGTGCAGCGCCGTGAAATCACCGACGTAATACACGTGAGTGTAGTTGTAAACGTTATCCACAGTCAATCGGTACTTATTGAAGATCAAGAGATTGATGGATGTGTATATGCTACCTGTGCTTATTGTGTTTACCCCCGTGTAAGTCATTGTTGGGACGTTTACTTCTGAAATGCCCCAACTTCCGCCTCCCTCCATGATGCTCCTGACGAATGAACCATTGGTGCTCGCCGCTTCCCTGTAGATCAATTGAGCGCCCATGCCATCCGACACGAACAAAACTACTCTCTTGGCCAAAGGCGATTGCTCTTCGCTGCATTGCACTTTCTGAGCAGGTTCGAGGCTTCTGTAGTGTAAATCAATAATAACATATACGAATAGAAAATTTATAAAAATGGATAAACAGAAAATCATATTTCGTTTCAGTATTGGAATTGATGCGAAAAGAATATGGTTTTATAAACATATGGATTCCATTTTCTCCAAGCCAGCTTTTTAAAGTAATTACTTTACTAATCGTGTACGAAATAAAAGTAAAATCAGATTGTTTGTTGTTTGTACGCAAAGAAACTATTAAAGACGCATTTCATAAATGTTACCCTCTTATCTAACTACTCAAAACAACAATAACGTATTAATTATGAGTAGTATTTGTATTATTTCATGATATTTAATGATATTATGATGTACCCCGTAATGTTTTAATTTTAAATACCCTTCTCTTAATGTTCGATTACGTCTGCAAATTAACTAGCAGTAGAAAGAATTTCTCTTTTGCTATAATTAATTAAGGTTTTTAGTTGAGATGAAAAAAAGTCAATGGCACGAGCGGGATTCGAACCCACGATCTTCGGCTAGATACGCCGCTGCTCTACCACTTGAGCTTTTTGCCATTTTTCAAATGTCGTGCAATCGGTTTGGATTCTCGACGACAATTGAAGTGGCCACGGAGAGATTTAGTGAAGTGTGAGCGGTCACGATAGCTCAAGTGCTCGAGCAGCGGCGTATCTAGCCGAAGATCGTGGGTTCGAATCCCGCTCGTGCCATTGACTTTTTTTCATCTCAACTAAAAACCTTAATTAATTGTAATGAATTAATTGTAATGATTTAATTGGTGAAGCGGACCACGAAATTAGTGAATTTAAAGAATTAATATGAAGTACGCTTCACTAAATCTCTTCGTGGCTATTTCAATTGTCGTCGAGAATCCAAACCGATTACACGACATTTGAAAAATGGCAAAAAGGAGGGAAAACTCATAAGGTTGGGTTGAGTTAGGAAGTTGATGTCCGAGTGGATCGAGGTCACGATAGCTCAAGTGGTAGAGCAGCGGCGTATCTAGCCGAAGCTCGTGGGTTCGAATCCCGCTCGTGCCATTGACTTTTTTTCATCTCAACTAAAAACCTTAATTAATGTAATGATTTAATTGGTCAAGCGGACCACGAAATTAGTGAATTTTGCTATAACGTTTCAGCATTGACATTGCTGAATTTAAATATTATAATGAGTAATCATATATGCCGGATTAATTAGCACCACTCGTTCTAAATAAAGGAAATTAATTATTTCAACATAAATAATTGATTATCAGTATCATTTAATTAGATATGTAATATAAAGGTTTGAATAGCAAGTTTATTGGCGATCATCCTGCCGCTCGCTGTATATGTCGATGAAATGCGTTCCGCCACTTCATCTCATCTTCAGGGAAATACATAAATTAGAAAGTTTTATAAATCGCATGCCTATTGTTAGAAAGTGATACGAACTTGAAAAAATTCAACGTGTCCTTTTTTTTGTCTCTCGCAGCTGCCGAATATCGTGAGGCCGGCGTTTTTCAAAGGAGTCCTTTATCAAAACAGGAGAAACTCTTCACGCATTCTGACTCGGTCGCATTCGATCGCATATGTTCCCAGGTGCACGAACGCTCTTTTTTAAATGGCCAAATATGGTGCCGTTTTGTTTTAACATTTATTTCGCTTCTACTGAGGATGATAATTTGACAATACAATCATTAACGAATATCCTGCTATTTCGCTGTGTTCATTTAACACAAAAGACGAGATTTTAACCAAAAACAAGAAAACGGACGAGCTCAAAATGGGTAGAAAGTGAAGTGAGAAAGTGAGTGAAGATCAGTGTAAAATTCTTTACCAAAGTAAGCTGTAACCTCATACCAAAATATCCGACTTTTACCAAATTCGAACGATAGAATGATCCAAAACGAATTTAATTACAAACATGGAACATCAAGCATATTCTGGATCTCAGTGTGCTCTGGATGAAATAACAATCTCAATTGTTACTATCAAGCTTTTGATCTATTTAATTATCATCAGAGCAATTTTAAATATGTATAAAAAATGTTTTTAATAGATGGTTTCAAACTTCTTTGAATATCGACTAAGTCAAAACATTGCCTAGGACTATATAACCTTGCCTTAATAATATTAACCAAAGGTGGATTATTCATGAGTAAAAAAACTGGTCGATACATCAAATACATTGACAGGCAAAAAATTCCGCCCACTTGTAATATAACTTGATTTGTATATATTTTTATATATTAATCAAAGTTTCACATTTTTTAACGTTTAATAATTGAGTCTTTCTCTAAAAAAGTTTTAAAAAAATGTAAATTGCTAAGGGAATGAAAAATAAATAAAAAAATGTAAAAAACGATGGACAGATAAAATTTGTTTTAATTTTGTTTTAGATTTTTAATTAACATTTCATTAGCGCTTATTTCTTCCTCTTGCCTAAATAAATCTCGAAGTCGCCTCAGCAAACTTTCTACCAGTCTGGAAATGTCTCTTTGCTGGACGTTAGCCCGTTTTTCACGAAGAGACCTTTCAACATCGTGGAGTGTATCAGGAAGTGGTGGACGTGTCCGTCTTTTGAGGTTATCCCATAAATGTTCGATTGGGTTCAAGTCTGGAACGGGCTGGCCAGGCTCAGTCCCTGATGACGGTTGAAGGTACGTTCGTAAAAAACCCTCCGTGAAGAACAACCAACTCTGTGCACTCCATTGAAATTCGTCCCCACACCATCACTGAGCCACGTTGAAAAGGTTGGCTCTGGGAAAAATTAAAGGCTTCGTATCATTTCGCCTTCTCCACACTCGTTCACACCCATCAGGAGATCATAGAGCAAATCTTCACTCATAGGTAAAACGTACAACAGACCAATCGTCCAAAGATTGCTGTGTTCTCGAACAAATGCGAGCCGTACAACTCTGTGTGTTCTGGTCAATTCTGGTCCTCTTATGGGGTGGAAAGCCATGGGTCAATACTGATTTAATCTTCTTCAAGCAGCGTGTTCAGATATTTGGACACCTCGAGCTGATGAAGCGCTTGGTGCCGGTTTCGCAAATTTCTCAAAGTCAAAAAACGGTCATACTGTGGTTATGGTCCGCATACCTGATGGTAGGTTCACCCATCAATATTGCCCCACCACGCGCAACATCCTCAGGACTAAGTGACACTTTTAAGTTGGAAATCTAAATTAAGAGAACATAGATGAAAACTAAACAGTTTATTGCTTCAGAATTCAAATGAGACTGAATAAACGGTTTAAATTCCGTAAAAGTTAAACTTTAAGGATCTTTATCCTTGTTTTGCATTAAGGATTAAGTGTATTTACGTCTAATTGATATTCCCAATTTAAAACAGCATAAACAAATATTTATTGATAAAAACAAAGTGACAAATTAAGGGCAGAAATTTGTTTTGTCGTGAAAATGAAAGTAGTGCCAGTGTACTTTAACCATGGGACATGGTACACAGTAAAGGATCTAATTTAAAATAAAGTACCGACAGCAAAGTCATATTTTGCCTTCAAGAATACTAATAATTACTAACTAAAGGTTCTACGATTTTATTAGACTTATAAATAAATAATGGCTGGTTTATCCAGTACATGGAAGAGTACCTAGCCGAAGCGTACAATTAAATTCTTATACATTTTTGAAAGTACAGCTCACAGTAATAAGTAATTTTTCAATAATTACGGTTTTTAGTTGAGATAAAAAAGTCAGTGTCACGAGCAGGATTTGAACCTACGACCTTCGGCTAGATACGCCGCTACTCTACCACTTGAGCTATCGAGACTTCGATCCTTATTCGATTTAATTAATTGAAAGATATTAATTGGTCAAGCGGGCCACGAAAACTAGTGAATTTAATAAGTTAAAATGAAGTAAATCTTCAATAAAGCTCTCCGTGGCCATTTCATTTGTCGCCGAGAATCAAATAGATAACACGACAATTGAAAAATTGCTAAAAGAAGGGAAAATTCGAAAGGCGCGGTTGAGATGAGAAGTTGGTGTCCGAGTGGATCGAGGTCACGATAGCTCAAGTGGTAGAGCAGCGGCGTATCAAGCCGGAGATCGTGGGTTCAAATCCCGCTCGTGCCATTGACTTTTTTATCTCAACTAAAAACCTTAATTAATTGAAAGATATTAATTGGTCAAGCGGACCAGGAAAACTAGTGAATGTAATAATGTTTGTTGATGATGTGACGTCCAGTAGGTTAAAACAAAAGCAACCAGATTTGTTCTTATGGCTTTATTATTTATATTAATTTATTCCCCAAGGCTGTTGCAATATCTGTAATATATATACTTAATCTTGCTCAAATTATTGTACTTTTTATTTTTAACTTCATAGAGCATAATAATTAATAATTTTAAAAATATTGCCAATAGGAAGCAAAGTTAAATAGAGAATTGATTACAAAACCAGTACTAGTTACCACGTCTATCCTTTTCATCTTCTCGCTTTATCGTATGTGAAATAAATTTTGTTTCAAATGAGATAAACCCGACGGGTTGTTTGGAGTTAATTCGATCTGACCTTTCCTTATCTCCAGTCGTGGCACATATCTCGGTCTCCCCATGGCTTGAAATCGGGCTCCAATTGGCCGTAATTAAGGCACGCCATAAAAATAAACAAAGAACGAATCGTGCAAACCGTAGGAAAAAAAAAATCAAATCTCCTTATCTAATCTCGGTTCTATTTGAAATTTGAAACGCCCCGGGGGTTCGACCGTCTCTGGGATCAAGGCCTGCAATAAATTGTGTTTTCCTTTATATTATAACCAAAGTTATTCAGATATCGTGAGATGCGGTCTGGTGTGATGTAGTTTTCAGAAAAACATTTTCTTTATCATGCCAACGTTTCAATCTTTATGGAGATCATCTTCAGGGCCTGGGATGTACAAACATTGTTTAAATTTAACAAATACATGTAGGATGTGGAAAAAAGTGAATTTATACAATCCAAAAAAATATTTTTTATTTTCAATCAAAGTATTTGTACTCACTCGAAGTGTTTGTTTTCTGCGTAATTGTCCCATTCTTGCGTGCCGTGTTGAGAGTGCCAGTGATATATTGCAGTTTTATGTTTACTTATGTTTTTCCACATCCTACATGTATTTGTTAAATTTAAACCATGTTTGTAAATCCCAGGCCCTGAAGATGATCTCAATAAAGATCGAAACGTTGGATCAATAAAGACAGTGTTTTTCTGAAACCTAATTCACACCAGACCGCATCTCACGATTTCTGAATAATCATCGACAAACTGTCACTAATCACCACATATAACCAAAGTGTTTATTTCAACCCTACATAGCATCAAAATCCTAATTTTGATCAAAATGTTTCATTGAATCTGAATATACTGTCAAAGAAAAATTAGTAGATTAAATTATGCAATATAGATCTATTAAAAATACTCTTCTAATGATTGTTTCGCTGCCAATAAATTCAGATTCAATTAAATATTGTGATCATTTTCGTAAAGTGATAATTGCAAATTGCTTAAAAATAAGCCTGGCTGAAAGTCGGGCAGCGTATTCAAAGAGAAAAAATCTAATATGAGAACACAAAATTCACAATTCTTAGGAGCCATAAATGGACATTTTGGATTTTAATTTTTTAGCCACACTTTACAAATTAAATATAATAGTTGTGTTATTATTTTTTCTATCTGTATTAAATTAAGGGATTTTTCTGGGAGTGAATGAACCTGTTATTTGGTCTGCCTATCCTCATCGTTTTGATCCATCAGACGCGTTTCGGCAATCTTCAGCGATAATTTACCGCCAAAAATGCAGTAATTAATTTTAGATAAATTAAATTTTATTATTTGCTGAGTATTTTATTTTCCAGTTGAGTATTTAAGTTATTTTGTGAACAGAATTCAATTTTGTTGTAGATAATAATTTTTTTGTTGTAAATAATTTTGTTGTAAATAATACAATCCATATTACAGATAATTTATAAATAAGATAATTAATAGACGATCTTTCTTAATCTAATCAAGAAACGAATCCTTTGAATATTGTGATTATTAGAAAGGCTCCTCAAGAAGTACCGTAGACTTTGGTAGTGTGAAAAAATTGTGGTATGTGGATGTAATTTATTAATTATTCGGAAATCGTGAGATGCGGTCTGGTGTGAAGTAGGTTTCAGAACAACACTTTCTTTATCGTGCCAACGTTTCGATCTTTATAGAGTTCATCTTCAGAGCCTGGGATTTACAAATATTGTTTAAATGTAACAAATACATGTAGGATGTGGAAAAAAGTGAATTTATACAATGCAAAAAATATTTTTTATTTTCAATCAAAGTATTTCTACTCACTCGAAGTGTTTGTTTTCTGCGTAATTGTCCCATTCTTGTGTGTCATGTTGAAAGTGCCAGTGAGATATTGCAGTTTTATGTTTATATATGCTTTTCCACATCCTACTTGTATTTGTTAATTTTAAACGATGTTTGTAAATCTCAGGCCCTGAAGATGATCTCGATAAAGATCGAAACGTAGGCACGGTAAAGGAAATGTTTTTCTGAAACCTACATCACACCAGACCGCATCTCAGATTTCCGAATAATCATCGTCTGACGGTCACTAATTACCACACACGCAATTTATTAACGCGAATCCTGGGGATTATCCCCTATTATCCGGAGGAACATCGAGTACTCTGGGGTTATCAGACTAAAATGTTTTTTTTTATACTTTAAATTCTTATTTGTTCTATTTGTGAAATTAACAAACTTCAGTAACTCTCAAAGGACTTTCATTCGAGCCGGGCAAGAACTACAATATAAATCTCTCTTGGGATCGTCGGAATCAGGTCAATAAATTAAATTTAATTAGCAATCACAAACACAGACACCTTTAACACAAATTTAATCAAGATGTTTTTTTTGGTAACATTTGAACCAGCTGAAAGGTGAATGTTTATGTATAAAGAGTAATGGAAAGGGGATGTGAAGGACTTCGTCTACCCTACCGTTAATATCACTTCCTTAACTTTCGTTGATGAAAGGGAGAACGGTACCGAGTACCTGTTCGCCCTCCATCTGCCTTCATTGTTTAATTCCGGGGTGATTTAAAAGCAATGGCATCACTTCCTTCCCAACTGTGCACTGTTTATAAAAGCCAACTGTTGCTTTTATACGCAACAGTAGGAAAAGCTTTGTTGAGCTTCCGGTTACGCCTGTTGATGTCATTCATAATTTTTCAGCAACATGTGAATTAATGTTTTTTAATTTTGTGCTAAATGTAGTTTTTGGCTTAATTAATGTTTCTCTACAATGGCATTGGCTTATATATGAAAGAAAATATTTTAAATAAATTAGTTTTTGCGAGATATTTTGTCGATGTCTGCAAGGTGTTTGTTATACTGCAAACCTTCGCGGGTTTGGACGAAATTAAATATTTTTTTAGAAATTTAAGAGACAAAACAAGGGTTAGGAAAATATTTATTTCTTCGATAAAATATTGTAACGGGACAGAGAAACATTTTTTAAACTTTGATAATGGACTTAGGATCCACGATTAAACCTTGGAGGACTGGTGTAAAGGAGAGAAACTTTTAATTTAGAAAACTGCAAGAGATAGCGTACTTAAAAATTAAGTAATCAGTAATTTTTTTATATCGAATATTCCCAGAAATAAGAAAGTCTGTACAATATAATATTATTAATAAAGAATCCCTGAGAAACTAATATCTTCTAAATAAAAGGCTTTTAGAAAAAAAGACTTATTTTCTCACATAAGATGACTGTTGATGATTATTGTTTTTTATTATTATGTACATTGGCGTCTTCGTTATTATTTCTCACTCATTTCTGTGTCTGTAGCTACGGTCAGTCGTTTACGCATAACCTGATGAATCATGCTGTTAGCAGATTACGTCTGGTATCATATTTTCGTAGAATAAAAATATATTTACGTCATAAAGAAATCAGGGGTGAAAAAATGTGCGCAAT